GAAACTTCCCCTGTTTCCTAACCTTCCTTTGGTCCCAATTTTGATTCCATTAGTCCATTTTAAGCCAATAGCTGTGAAAATCTCCCTAAAATTGGTGGTTGGCAATAGATGGACCCACAGCACTGCTAATGTGCCTGTGGCATTTATGAAATATTTGGACAGAAAGTCACTCCCACCTGGAACCTAAGGAAGAGTGACAAAAGGAAAAATAATCAAGGGAAGTGGTATTGATTCAAAAGAAAGAGCACAATGGGGCTGGAGTAGTCAGGAGAGCTTTGTGAGAGCCATGGGGTTTAAAGTGGTCAGGATTTAAAGGAATGGATTACCATTATCTTTCCATCTTAAATTATTCTTAATTCCAAATCTCGTGGGTATTTACTTGAGTTTCATTGTGCCCAAGTTGCTAACAAATCTGATCTAATCTCCAAATTCTTGAGTTGTCATGATTGCACGGTAAGTTCTATTATTTTCTTTATTGTCAGCATTTAAATCACAATTCCTTGCTCAAAATATACAAAAACAAAACCGCTTTTGCTACCTAATAAGCTAGGAGGCAGGATCTTCTATTAGTGACCTGTTTCATAAGATCCATTCCCCAAATAATTTCATCATTTTATATGAGTGAGTTACGTAATTTATTATTTCTGTATTGAAAACTTTTATTTAAAAAATCTATTAGAGAATGGTGACTTTGAAGTCATAGATTTGTACTATTCCTCTATAATGAGATTAAATTTACAAACATCACTTAAGAGCAAATATTGCTGTAAGTTTTGTAATACAATTTTGGGGGACATGTTAAATAGTGGAGTTGAATGACTATTGATCTTAGCCTTCACTGATTAAAATTAATGTGTGTGTGTGTGTGTGTGTGTGTGTGTGTGTGTAACAGTTTACTACTTTTTGGTATAAGGAAGGACAATTTACCAAGTTCCATGTGGTATGAGTTGTACAAAACACCCCTTAGGAGTTGGTTCAGGCATCAGCCATCTAAATGGTCATTTCCCTCTTCATTTTGCCCTTTGGTGGTTTGGGCTTAACTTCTGAGAGGCAGCATCCTTGAGAGAGAAGAATAGTGTCACTTCAAGAACTGCAGTGTTTTCTAGACTTTTCTTGTTGGAAATGTGAGGATCAAATGTAGCTACGTAGGATGAAAACTAGCTGCTTCTGAATAGATCTACTCCCCTTCTCGGCTTTGGAGGGTAGCCCCACAGATGAGCACAGCTCTGCTGCTCCACTGCCCAGATTATTAGAGTCCAGGCTTCTCCACTCACTGGAGGTTTGACTTGAGATAATCTATTTAATCCTTCTGTCTCAGTTTCCTTTTCTGCAAATAGATTATGATCATAATACTTACTTCTTCAGGGTTTTCTGTGATGATTAAATAACCTGATACATGTAAAACACTTAAAAGAGTACCAGCCATGTAGTAAATATCCAATAAATGTATTGTTATTCTTATTACTACTAGGTAATTACAGGATTCCTATCTATAACCCTGCAAAAATCTGCAACTAGTTTATCATCATCATCATAAATCATCTCTTAAATTAAGGTTTTACAGCTGAATTAGAGATGCTGGTGCTTAGTTCTCTTCTGATTCTATGGCAGTGTTATCAATTGTCATAGTTTTACGTTTCACTCATATTCCAGTGACTTCTGTATCTTTGCACAGTTCTGGACTCTGACTCTGTGCTCTATAGAACCATATTTACAGATGTTTACCAGAGGCCGGGCACCATGGCTCATGCCTGTAATCCTAGCACTTTGGGAGGCAAAGGTGGGTGGATCATCTGAGGTCAGGAGTTTAAGACCAGCCTGGCCAACATGGTGAAACCCTATCTCTACTAAAAATAGAAAATTAGCCAGGTGTGGTGGTACATGTCTATAATCCCAACTACTCGGGAGGCTGAGGCAAGAGAATCACTTGAACCTGGGAGGCGGAGGTTTCAGTGAGCCAAGATCATGCTACTGGACTCCAGCCTGGGAAACAAGAGTGAAACTTTGTCTCAGAAAACAAAAAACAAAACAAAACAAAAAAAAAATCACAAAAAACAGATGTTTAACAGAATCTTTACCTTGATGTCCCATGGACAACTGAAAGAAAAAATGCACACAACCGAAGTTAGAATTTCCCTCTGAGCCTTGTTTTCCTACTAAAAATATTTGTGAACTCTTCGTGCTTTCCTTATGATATTACACTAGGTTGTATATTGTCCCCTCCAAAAGTCATGTCTACCCCAAACCTCAGAATGTGACCTTATTTCTAAATAGTCTTTGCAGATGTAATTAATTAAAATGAAGTTATACTGGATCAGAGTGGACCCTAAATGCTGTGATTGGTGACTTTATAAGAAAGCCCCGTGAAGACATTGAGATACACACAGAGAACACCATGTGAAGTTAGAGACAGAAGCTGGAGTGGTGTGCCTACAAGCCAATGAACAAGTGCCAGCAATCACCAGAAGCTAAGAAAGAGGCATGCAATAAATTCCCACTTGGAGCCTCCAGAAAGATCCAAGACTGCCAACACCTTGATTTTGGACTCCTGGCCTCTTGAACTGTGAAAGAATAAGTTTCTGTTGCTTTAAGCCACTTACTTTGTGGTACTTCGTTACGGCAGCCCTAGAAAACTAATAACAGACACTGTCAACTATTACTAAATTTAGAATTCTTAGAACCATCCTTACCTATATTAGTTTCCTAGCAATGCCCACAAACTGAGTTGCTTAAAACAATAGAAATTTATTCTTCCACAGTTCTGGAGGGTAGCAGTCCAAAATCTAGGTGTCAGCAGGGCCACGTGGTCTCTCAAACCTGTGTGGGAATCCTTCCCTGCCGCTTCCTAGACTCTGATGGTTTGCTGGCAGTCTTTGGTGTTCCTTGGTTTTCAGCTGCAAAACTCTAATCTCTGCCTCTTTGGTCACCTGGTGTTCCCCCAGTGTGTCTCTGTCTTCACCTGGCTGTCTTTTTATAGGGAGGCCAGTCATATTGGATTAGAGGCTCACCCTACTCCAGTATGACCTCATCTTCCTCATCTTAATTTACCTAATTACATCTGCAAAAACCCTATTTCCAAACAAGGTCACATGCTGAGGTACAAGGGGTTAGGACTTCACATACCTCTTTTGGGGGGGACACAATTCAACCTATAGCACTACACCTTTCTTTTGTCACCATTTCAAATTGATCCCCTTCTAGCTGTTTCACGTTCTCCTGCAGCAGCTTCTCTCAGAGGTAGCTCCTGTTCGCCATGCCTGCTTCAGCTGCCCTGGTTATGGCACAGCCTCTTTTCGTGGTATTATTGCACTCACCTCCAGATTGATTTTCTTACTTCATTTCATTCTCTGTACATCCAGCAAGTTAGCTCATCGGTTTCTAATCAGATTGCTGTCGTTTCCCTGGCCAAGACCTACCAGTGACTTCCCCTACCCACGGCCTCAAGTATAAACTAGCACAGAAGGTCGGAAGTTTGGCCCCAGCTTCTCCTTCTAACCATCTCTCTTACCACTTTGTACCAGGTACCACAAACCACATTGCTCTACTCACCCTTTCTTTAAAATAGATTTTAGATCTCTAGGCCTTTGCTTATGCTTTTCCCTATGCCTGGAACATCCTTCACGACCCTTAACCCTCTGCTGAACTGCTTTGCATCCCATAAGGTCCAACTGAAACACCACTTAATGAGCTGGCTTCCAAAATTCTATCACATCAAATTATTGAGCCTTTACCTATGTGTCTGACACCTTGTGATTCTGGATACTAATATTAATATACATATATACAACAATTAACCTTGACAGTCATATTTCAATCTTGACAGTAGAAATATAAGCAACTGTATGTATGGACTTTGCCTCCTGTTGATATTCATTAACTATTGCAGCATACGCAAAGAGTTTGTGTGTGTATATACACACATATTTATGTATTACATATTATAGAAAATGTGCATCTGTGTGTGTATGTGTATACACACATAAAGTGGCTTATCTGCAGAATCATACTGTGAGTGATCCAGCATTCTTTTCATTGTTTCCTGAAGAAACAGTAACCAAGCAACATATAGTTAACAGTTTGTATTTTAAAAATTGGGTTCTTTAGGTGTTAGTTCATGCCTGTAATCCCAGCACTTTGGGAGACTGAGGTGGACGGATAACTAGAAGCCAGGAGTTCAAGACCAGACCAGTCTGGCCAGTATGGCAAAACCCATCTCTCCTAAGAATACAAAAATTAGCCAGATGTGGTGCCATGTGCCTGTAATCCCAGCTACTTGGGAGGCTGAGGCACGAGAATCACTTGAACCCAGGAGGTGGAGGTTGCAGTGAGCTGAGGTCGTGCCACTGCAGTCCAGCTTGGTGCCTGGTGATGGAGTGAGATGCTGTCTCAAAAAAAAGAAAGTATGGGAGGAGCTATCACTGTAATAATACCGAATAACAACTCCTTATATTTCAGTGGTTCACAAGACACATTTCTTTTTCTTGTCTGTGGGCATGTAGGTCAGTCAAGCATGGGTGGATTCAGCTGAGCTTGGCTCTTAGTCTGCAAGTCCAGCCTGGTCTGATCTACCTTGGTGATTCTAAGAACAGCAGCATCCTGGGCCACGTTCTTCTTATGGTGATGGCAGAGGCATGGAAGGCCAAGCCGAATGATGCCAGCACGCTGGAGCCTCTGTTCATGATACGTCTGCTAACAGTACATAGGTCAAAGCTAGTCATGTGGCCCACCCTGTATCAAAGGAACAGGAAAATACACTCTTCTTACTCCACGGGAGGTTCTATAGAGTCATATGACAAAGAGTGTGGGTGCATAATTCTTACACAAGCAGGCAATGAAAAATCAAGAACAAGTATCCAGTCTACCACAAAGTCCTTATGAACCTAAAGTAGATGGTACAAATTTTCACTTTGAATATAAACTGGTGTTGAATTTGCAAAACTGTACTTTGAAATGTGGCTCTAATCGTATCCATTTTTGTTTTTGTTTTTTTTTTTTCCTAGAGATGTGAAGATGTTTGGCTTGGGATGCCATCACCTATTCCTGCGAAAAACATTGACTACTTTACCTTTTTGAAGGATACGGTTGGCTTAGAGGAGGAATAACCATGCCAGTTTTGGTCAATTCTTTTTGATTTACTTCTCTAATTTTGCCACATTTACTTTAGTAGATACAATTTCATTAAAAACAAAAAAGAAACAAGGTTTATATTGAATGGAAATCCATAAACCACAGTTAATCTTATTTTGTCATGTTAGCTTTTCAGAACATCATATTGTATTGCTGACGTACTAGTACTATTTAAAATGCCATTTTGAAGCATGTTGAGTATTTTTATTATATGTATGATTTATTAATACCAAAAATCTTCTGATAATTTTTCATCAAACATAATTTGATTCATTACTATATGAACAGAAAATGAATTTTGATGGTTATACATGACAATATAAAATCAGATTATATCACAGCAATAAGTTGTGATTCTATTAAACATTTTTGAAATCTTTTTGACGTTTATTATTTATATAATTAAGTTTTCTAGCAACTCACCTCATCAAAATAATGCTTAAACCTTTCTAGAGTAAATATGTTTATCTTTTGAACTTAGTAAAGCTATGGAAAGAAAAAGAACCTCCCCTCGACACGCACACATACTTGGGAAAGAAATGGGAACATATGCAGTATTTATATTTTTAATACCCTTTTTTCTATCTAAAGTCATCTTGTTAGCTTAGGAATATATGCATGTGTATATAATTATAGTATGACCAAAATTTATTATGTCTAAAATATTTAGGAATGTGAATGCTGAAGATTTTGAGATTTTTTTTTTTTTTGGTTTGTTTTATACACACATCCCACCCATCCCACCCTAGAGGTTTAAATATTCAGAAACTACAACATTTCCCCCACTGTATTTTTCTAGTTCTATTTTTATTTTTCTTCAATGGAACTCTTGTCATATACTGTACATTTGATTAAAATCCATAGCAATGTACTTCTGGGAATTCAGTGTAGAAGTCTTTCCCAGTCTATCAGTTGATCAGTGTTGGGTGCTATGTATCATCAATTCATTTCCCTGGTTTTCTCGGAGACAATGGAGCCCTCTCAAGAAGGACCTGCACCATTTATCTTTCAGGGACTACTTTGAGAAGAAAAGGAGCTGATGACATCTCAAGGGACCCTTCGGACTCATTATTCTTTCAGTCCACATTTGCAGCAGTGTCTTGCTGGCTTCTTGGCACTCAAATGTACCAATTTGCTCTTGGCAACAGTGGTCCTTTCATTTTTTAAAAATTGAAGTTAATCAATAAACTATTTCTATATAGAAACCTACGATAATTCCACATGTGCTATTGTTAGAATAGACGCTTCTCCCCACCCCCACCCTTTCAGGACTTAACACTAAACTAGTATCCGCAATTTATATACTAAAACTATCTACCATAAAACCTAAATTTGACTACTTGATTTTTGTCCCAGGTTTTTTTTAAGGCAACTGACAGTGCCAAGCCATTTTGTCACTTTAAGATTTTTCATTCCCCAGAGAGCAAGCTTTTAGAAGGATGACACTTTCCTGGAACTTTTCAAGCTGACACATTCGTCACTTACCTATTCAACTCTTCAGTCAGTTGTCTTTCCTTCAAGAGTTTAAATATGTAGATAATTTAGCCCTTGTAGAGGCTCATAATATAGTTCATTTGAGAAGTGGGGGAGAAAAAGAAAGGAAGCAAACCAGTGACAATGCTCTTGAGCTTGTGAGGTGACACTGCTCATTCTATTGCATAGATGTGTGTTACTGCCCTGGTTGTTTCTGGATCAAGCCCACAATTAGCAATGAAATGGCCATTATAGGATTCATGCCGATAAACATGATACATTGCAGCCATACAGACACTTTAAATAATTATTCTTTTTATAACTAAACCATATACTGAACAAGATTTATAATTTAGAGATAATATCCCCATTAGCAAAGTTTATGACCCAATAAACAGCTCCCACTAGTTAATAAATGCCAAAGCCATAAAAGCAAAGACTATTAATGTAATAGAATTTCTGTACCTCCCTCTTTTGCTGGTGGTCTCAAGACACTGAAGGGAAATGCTATCTTAGGAAAAACATTTATTCTCATTATGTAAATATCAGTGAATTGTCTTACAATCCATCTGGAAGTCTCCCAGCCCCCCTTGGTCCCAGGTGGTCCCAAAATGCTGATGCGTTCTGCTTAGGTTTCAAGCAGTAGATAACTCTGGTTTTCAGCACAAATAAACCCTGAGACTAAAATCTTTGGGGGTGGAGGGCTGGAATTTCTGCCTCTTCTCTTCCCTCTGCAAAAGAGAAATCCCAACTATTGTCATTGTTCCAGGGTAATAATTTGAAAGAAGTTTCACAACCTTTCCATATACTTACATTTTCAGCTGCTAACGTGATCTTATTTTGATGAAAAAGCAAGTGCCACCTTTGGACGTCTGGGTGAGTTGAAGGTTAATACAGGCGAACCTTTTGTCCTAAGAACTAACTGTTTTTTAGTATTCTTGGAACTGTGGGAATGATTGATAAAGCCGTTTGAAACCCCAAATCAAATCATGTCTTTTCATACAAAACTGATTAAAAGCTGTTGAAGTTCACATTAAGTGGTTTGCAGAGGCACTGTTGTGAGATATGGCGTCGCCAGCAGAGGATTAATTTGCAGTGCTTATTTGCCTTTTGTTACCTTTTTTACCTAACCGCTGGAAAAGTAATGTGGGTAAGTCTGTTGGTTGACTTCAGCTTACGCTTACTAAAATGGTTAAAAGTTTAGACACCAGAGGGGAGATACGGAGCTTCGTAACTTTCAAGCATTATAATAAGCATTTTGCCTACTTTATTTCCTGTATTGCTTTTGATTCAATTACTGACGAATACACTATTCTTGCTATTTTTTTAAACACTTGAGTATTTGAAGTTCGGTTATTTGGGGTTATAGAGCTTCTAAGCTTTATGGACCCCCCCAGTCATGAGTTTAGAATGTTTAAATTGCCCTCCCTTCTTTCAATTAGGGAATTATTGATGAGTAAAATGGAATCTCAAATCAATACAAAATACAAAACTCTTGCCTGTCCAACTTGGATTTATCTTGAGTTGGGGTCGCTTCCTAGCCTTTTCCACTTATTTCTTCTTTCTCCTTTCCTTCCACCACACATTATGATTTTGCTGTAAGCTTACTAGTTGGAGTCATAATAAAATAATAGGGCCTTCCACAAAATAGTTATGATATTGAATAATGCAGAATCCATTATAATGAAGTGCCATGCTCCCAATTACATGTACATTCATTTTAGTTATGAGTATAGATCCCTGAATTTTAAATACCCTTAAAAAATGGTCTGTAAATGACTTTTCAGACAAACATTTTCTCAGTGATGGTGGAAACATATACACGGGTGATGCGTCTCTGCCCTGATGTTGGTTTGGGCAAAGTTTGAATTGCTTCAAGTTGAAGGCAGGTTAAGACCTTTTCGAAAATGAGTTTCTTCAAGTTGACTGAGCATCTTCAGAGACACAGTGCTTTTCAATTCCCAAGAGAATGTAATGTGGAAAAATGGAAAGCCCACTGAGGCAAGATCAATGAGGCTATTTAGAAAACAATAAACCTGGAGCGATAATGGAGCAAACATTATTACAAAGGGTAGGGCTGACTGTGCAATTAGTTTAAGAGAATTTTGTAACTCACCTCCTCTCCTTATTCTACCAGGTTATATATATTGGTTGAAATATACATTTTCATTCAAGGTTAATTAAGTTCCCTAAAACGAAGAGTTCTGACATAGCTTTGTCAACAGAGTGGTTGGAATATGCATCTTCTTTGTAATTTGTTCCTGGTCCCCAGTAAAATTCCTTGCAAGGGAACTTTCAAGCCCATTATGTGTCTTGTGTGTGGTACACACACGAGCCTAGGGGTCAGCACTGCTGCTCAGAAGCAACTGGGTAAAAGCGAAAAAAAATGTGGCCGATGAAAAACTCCACAGCAGCTCTGCAAGCAGAGAATTAATGACTCGCTGGAATCAGTAGGAGCCTTTACTTCTAAATACTCATTAGTTAAAGCAGTGAGGCCTGATGTTATGCAAGTTAGAGAGGGAAAGAGGGAACTGCCCCTCCCCATTGTCTGTTTTGAACAGAATATGCACATTTAACTCAAAGTGCTGAATGATTCAAATACATCAAACCAACTATTCATCAGTTTCCCAGCTTCCTGAGCACCACTTTGCATCTGTGTAAAGCCAACAATAGAGGAAATGCTTGTTATGACCCCACTATAATATTAAAATCCAGAGGAGCTGATAGCTTGGTGAAAACATAAAAATGCATTTTCCTTTAGAAATAGTTCCACCAAAGTCATCTTTGTGTTTCTTTTTTCCTACTTTGCCTATACAACAAGAACCTCTGACTGAAATAGGAACTTGATAAAATTGCTTTTGCCTGCTTTTTTCTCCTGTGCTACCACTGTTCATTATTGCTGTGAGGCCACCCGTTGAATAAAGAACAGGAGCTGAACGGCCATTTCAGAATGCTGCAAATGCCCCCCACCCCACCCCGCGTTTTAACTATGACTGGAGCTAAGAGGGTGAGAAGGGAAGTGGCAAGAGATGACCATTTTAGAGGGGAGTCAGGACAAAAATAGGGACCACCTTGTGTGTGTGACTCATGTTGAAGAGTTTGCACTTCATCCCAAGGGAATGAGAAGTTTCTGAAATATTTTCATCTGGGGAATGGAAAGATCATGTCTGTATTTAAAAATCTCTGGCTGCTTTGTGTATGTGAACTCTAAGAGTGAGTTTGGCGGCAAGAAGACTGATTAGTAGACTGTTGCCAGAGAAGTGATGGGTAGTTTGGATTAATGTAATGTTGGTGTGAAGTGGAGGGATTCACGATGCATTTGGGGTGTGGGAGATGAGGGAGAAGAAATCAAAATTGTGACTGGGTCATTTTCACAGCTGGGCAGATGGTGTTGCCATTCATTGTGCTGGGATGTGTGAGAGAAAAATCAAGTGAAGGGGGAATATCAAAAATTCTGCCTTGGGTATGCTGAATTAAGGTGCCTGTGGAACTGATAAGTGGCCATGTGAAGGCAGCTGGATTAAAAGGTCTGAATCTTAGCAGAATGGCCTGGGCTGGAGGCGGATATTTGAGAAACATCGGAGTATGGATGGTAATTGTGAGTTTGGATAAGATTACTCAGGGGAGGCAT